GTTACTTTCTGTAGTATATTCAAAATGAGTTTATTAGAATTGTTCTTTTATAGCCATTCATTTTAATATTTACACCTGAGTGTGTGTATGTATGTATGTATGGGTGTACATATGTATATGTGTGTGTGCGTATATGTATGTATGTATGTATGTATCTTTTAAATGAGAATCCGTTTATCATTGGTGAGTAAGTTTGGTAATGATATGGCTGAATTTGTTTCTAGTTATTTCTCTTTTGAGCCATTACATATTTCAATTTATTTTGTACTGCATAAAAATAAATGTAACCTTACACAGAATATGTGTGTTCGAAGAAGTTGTTTTATTTACCAACCTACAGTCATGGACAAGAAATTGGGTAAAATGGAACGGACCTGCGAAGATTAGTTTACAGCATAGCTACTCTACATGGCATATCTCGTACACATTGCGTTGGTTGAATATCTCGATTTCAACCTTTCGATTTTAATTAGAATAAGCAAGCTGTCACCCGTGGTTGTATATGTGTGTGATATTTATGCATACTGTGATACCCGTTCGCAATTACAATTAAGGTCACAAACCTAGTCAAGCTGAATACACGAATTTTGTCCATGCACCTTTCATCTGCACTGGAACTGTTGTTAATAAAAATAAACTTCAGTTTAGAAATTTATTCTAGTAACCAAAAGCAGGGTATCTTTTTATCACACAAATCAAATCGCTATTGTTCTGTTCCATTCTGGACAATAGGGGACCCTCTCAGCAGAACTCGATTAACTGCTATAGTTCATTTTAACCATTGACAGCGACATTACACTGAAGCGTGCAGCATGACAAATAGCGGGAGAGAAGACACAAACTAATCACTCTGTTCGCGTCAGCGCTAACTGTCCGTGCTCTTTGGTCTTGCTGCATGTGATGATGCCCACCAAATTAGCACGAAAGCGTGTCCCTACAAAGGCAGTCAACTTGGCTGCAAGCAGTTAGCTCACTGCATGTGTAGATTTTCTTCAAAACACCGTGAAGACTGATTGCTGGTCGAATATCCAAACACGTGAAAAGTAATATACCAGGTATAATTCGGTATTTCAGCACTGGACACTTTTGCGATAAGAGAGAATGGAGGAAAAAATTATGAACCCTGAATTGTTTAATTTTTGAAGGAGCATAATACAGCGCTTTTGGGTCAAAAGGGGAGTGAAAGAAGCAAGTGCGAAAGCCTACTTCTAAAAAAATTAGTACCCGCCACCACGCATAATGTCAGGCCGGGCAACCTCTTCAAAAAAAAAAAGTTCTTAGTGATTCTGCGAATCGAACCAAGTACTCCTAGATTGTAGTTGAGCGCTGTAACCGCTCGTCCACTGCAGCAGTGCTTGCATTCGCCCTATTGCTGATATATCGTCATTCCTTCGAATGAAGCCAAATGCAAAAACGTCCGGTGAAACTTTGCCGAAAATATAAAAAATAGTTAGAATGCGTTTGCCCAAGGTTACTAGAAGATAGAAACCGCCACGTGTGATTGTATAACCGTGCGCTATTTATTCTTGTACATTACTGTCATGACGTTGGGATAGCCGGCTCTAACGTAGGCTACCTTCTCATAGTTTGCCAAATATAAATAAGAAAATAAAAATATATAACAGCCTGTGACAACGCTAATAAATTATTATGAGTTCACTGTCACTAGTGTCACTTTCACTAGATGAATGCTCAGTTTGCTTCCAGTATCGTTATTTAGGAAAGTTTTGGCTCATTAACTCAACTCTCCTAATCAGTAATGATTCTCACATCTAAGGACAGTCACACTTCATCTCGCTTTCTGAGTGGCTGTCACTCCCATATAACGCGTACTCCTCTTTTTTATGCTCTCCGAGCATCTGACGCTGCTTTGCGGAGACTTTCCCTGACGTCTGATGGGCGAGAAAATTGTCTTTATTATCTATCAATTTCAAGCTTTCGCGAAGCCAAAACGAGAGTCTCTCTCTCTCTCTCTCTCTTCATCCTTTTCGCACGTGTGATAACGTCTCTCGACCTCAAGACTCGTATACACGTCCCTTGCTTTGTTTGCGCACTCAAACAACGCTGGACGAAATATTTGCACCGTGTTTTGTGAAAAGCATTAGCACTGAGACACCTCCCGACGAGTCTCCTTCATTTCACGTAGACATATACCTAAGCGTAAGCGTATGCACGTTCTCGCATGCCGGCTTTATGAAAATGCCGCGGTGCATGAAACCAGCGAAATTGCGCTCACAATTTCATTTGATTACTGCTGTTATCTATTTTAGCACAATTCGTCTGCAGGCACCAAAGTCGCTCATGTGTCTTGTAATAAGAATATTGTAACAAAGGCTACCTTTGGCTGTAGGTACAAAACACCCTTACGTTCACCACTATACCGTGCTAGATTGCACGGAATTAGTTAAGTAGCAACGTAGCTTCAATGAAATGTAAGGTAAGTGGTCGCTTTAAATAAGGAAAGACATTCAAGGCACATTTTCAAACATTGCATGCATCGATTTATGTGTGGTTTCATTTATGTGGTGCACCTGGAGTGTTGTTTACTCGTACTAGGCGAGATAGTGCATGGATTGCTCGGTGGCTTAAGGCCATCAAGCAATTATTTTTTTTAGCTACAGTCATTGATTAAAGGCGAGTGCTTGGCTTTGCACCGCCCACCAAAACGTCTATTACAACGTACGCGGCATCCCGTAAGCGCTGTAGCAGACGCTCGCGGAACTGAAACTTAGATGCAGCAAATCATTGGCTATCATCGTATACTCTCGATGCTAGACGCTTTGCGTGCTACCTTGATATTATCGGCACACACTTCTTTCTTTCCTTGTCGTTTCATCGGCTATCGTCGGTCCTCCTTGCCCTCTTAAGTGCCGAATAAGTTAAATTCATACCCGCGCTATAGTAATCCCTCCAGATAAGAGAATTTTCGGCTAAGAAAATGCGTAGCCAAAGAGAAAGCTTTGTGAATTCGGGCCCAGATACTTGGAGCAACCGGTGTGTATTTATCATGGTGACAGCAGGGAGAAGATATGCTCTCTGGTATTGAAGAAAGCCTGGTCACTCATCACTTGCACGCCCATTTGTCACATCATGCTCAGTGCACTAGTCAGACTTGAGCCGGAATAAAGCAGCACCGTTGAAAGGTTACTGTTATCTTTTGGCTTTCTTCCCACTAGTGGCTGGCTGGACCGCATGTGAAGATGTCCTTGGGGGCATTCTAATTTTGCTGTTAACTGAGGGCCCATGCAAGAGAGGCTCACAGTGACTGAATCTGACACACATGTGTGGTACTTGTTGAAAAGTGTCACCAGGTAAGACTGGTGCACCAAGAAGTACTCTTGATGGTTGCCTTGTGTGTGATCCTCTACACTTCTGGAAACGAAAGAAATACTCACTGCCAGGTCTGATATACACCGCTTAAAAGTAAACCACTCAAGCATTCCAATATTGGTTTCGCACTAATAACACAAAGTGCCACTAATAATTCTTTACTACCTGTATAGTGCGAATGCACCATCCTGACCAAGATTTTTGTTGATAAGTGCTACAGGCATCCTTCAAAACTCACTTCAATCAGTTCAAGTCATAAAAATTACTGCCCATGATCGAGCTGTTAAATTTATGGCATATGGGCTCTTTTTTCATGAGAAAGAATGGTAATAAAACAAAAGTAATGGTGGCAAGAGCTGTTGCATTTTTGATTGCAATTGTAGCCAACTGGTCTTCAGGATCTGGTTTCCGTGTTTTAAAATGGGAAATGTCTTACTCAGCAGAAATTATGTCATAAGAGATGCAGGTCAAGTTCTCTGGTTTGTACGTCACATCGTGCATGCCAGGCTTGCATTCCACTGGTGATGGGTCTGGTGGGACTAGTGGACTAGTGGTGGGATTAGTCAGGTGGACTAGAAAGGTGGGCTCATACATTGACGTCTCTCACTGCCGTTTTGCTCTTTGATCTCTTCGAGCATTGCAAGGCCCCTTCACTGGTGCTAATGTCATGGGGCTTTTCTTTTTACACATCTGTGTTCCCCTCCCCTTTGCTGGTGTTGATGTCGGGGCTTTTTTTTCTCTTACGCATCTGTGTATCCCGTCTCTTTTGAGTTCTTCACAGTTCAATTAACTTGGACACCTGCATTTAAAGTCACTTTGTAACACTGGTATCAACCAGTTATTTTTAAATTTACATTAGCTGTAATCAAAGTAAACCTGCCCTATAATTAAGTGTCTAGTGTTGGAATTAAAGCTGTGAGGTTGTTCTAACCAACTTTGTTTTTTTTCTTCTTTTGCTTTATGTCGACATATATTTAACACAGAAAGGATGAAACCGCATCTATTATCTTCCTATTACATATTTTAGCAACATGCTTGCTTGATTTCAAATATAACTAGACATCATTGCCTGCCTGAGCCACATTGCCTAGATTAATCAAAATGATAAAACTGTTTTACAATTCCTGTGATAGCTGGATTTTTTTTCACATTAAATGAAACAAGTTTGAATTCAGAAATTACGTATGAGCAAACAAAAAGAATTTAACGAGAATGTGAACTGCATATTTCAGCTTCAATCACGATGTACGGAAAGCGCAGACCAGGTTGCAGATGCACTCACAAATGCTCGTGCCATGCAGACTAACTTGCACCCTTTAGTCAGTGCCGGTCTTCGACGAACGATCAGTCTAAGTTTCTGCTTGAACAGCCACCTAGAAATAACGAAGAAATTGCGAAGCTTCCCATCACGTGCGCCCGAACTGTAAGGGGACTCTGTTACCACTGTTAGGCGCGACTACAATAAGCTGTTCATGTTTGTTGCGTTCGTGTTGCGTTCGTGTTGGTAAGCTGTTCGTGTTGGTATCGACTGCAAAATGTGTGGTTCTGGATTCCGTTCATTCAGTCTGAAAATAACAAAAATCCTCGTCATGTAGCCCTCATACATGGATGTCATATAAATGCGCACTCTCACAGCTTCCTTTCACAAGAGGAGCAAATGTCGAACTCACCACGTCGTCGTCCCACAGAAGTTGTTGCAAGTCGTCGGACACAGGAAACTCGGGCAGGGTGTCGAGCTGACTCTCGGACTTGGGAAATATTCATGCGACGGCACTAGGGCAAAGCTTTGGTCGGAGGGGCACGTTGCAAGCATCGGCCAAGTTGCGGTTGGTCTTGTAGTCCTCATCACAAAAATGCAGCAACCACACACACACAGTCTGACTGTTTAGCACTCTGGCGCAAAGGCGTGTCATTCAGCCACTTCGAGCGTATGGGTTCATTCTGTGGAATCCAGTGAAAAGACAGATTGGTTCCCCTGTTGCGGCATGCATCATTGGGGCATCCGGCAACATCACAAGTATGCGGCATTCTGTCGAACTTTTTGTCAGCGCTACTTTCACGAGCATGAAAACACACTGCAGTGCGCGATAACGAAACTACCACTGAGAAGCGAGCGCGTCATAGGTGTTATCTGACCGCGTGAGCAAGACGGGGCACCGCACGAAGCGCAGTTCGGCGAAAACGGAACTGTTGAACCCCACGCGGCGTTCCCCATGGCAACGCCAAAGAGGTTCTTTTTTCTATGAATCAAACAGAAATGAACAAACAAAGTTTTATTACGTCTCTTGATGCTCAGAAGGTTTTTTTAATGCATCTAGTTCGACTAATGGTGATTAATTGTAGGCGGTCCGTCTCACGTCGTCGGGATAGCGTTGAAAATTTCCGACCGTAGCGCTGTTGTTCACGTGCAGTTACCTTAATATCTCAGCAAGTAGGGCAATGCTGTTGATAATATTGTCGTTTTAGACGTTGTCATACATTGAGCTTCCACTCTGACAAATTGTTATTTTACTTTGGTGTCCCTTTAAAAACAACCATCGCCGGCGGTCGGGGCGGAAACTTCGCCGGCGGTCGGGGCGGAATCTTCGCCGGCGGCCGGGGCAAGCGCGTCACCGGCGCATCTCTCGCACTTGCCACCTGTTAGCTGCTTGGACTGAGGTCGGTGCTGCCAAGCGTTGAAAATGATACGATTGCTTCAGTTAATGACAGATGGAGCGCACAGTGCCAGTCTACTTGACCAGCGTGTTGAATGCACTCACTTGGCATCCCGTTTTCGCCAAGTTTCACTCGTGGCTATACGTTATCGCGCGCGGTCATGGCATTCGTTGTCGTACACTTATCTCGGCAATGAACAATTACGTGCGGCAGCTAACGCACATTTTAAGTTTGAATTCGCAGCTGCTGCTCAGAAGAAATCACATGAATAAAAAGCATAGCAAACGCAAGTTCACGGCGTTTGTAAAAGTTTCACAGTAAATCAGTTTTAAATGTGGTGGCGTTTTTAATGTCCTAATTCACAGTTTTTCAGACAGCTTGAATTCTACTGTTTTCGAAACTTAGAGTGTGCCTTCATGCTCGGTTCAGGCTGCACGGAAGATGAATGTTTATTGCCAGCCAATTGCATCTGTATAAAGCATGCATAAACAAACTTTCTTCGTGTTATTGCTATAAAATACGTGTTAAAGTATAAAAAGTAGCTATCCTTGTTCAAGCTCATTGATCCGTCGCATCAGAAAGATGCGACGGAACGAGGAGTTATTGCATGTGCACATTCACACTGCTATTGTCTAGTATATTCCATTTATCATGAATATTTTTGTTTTCGCTTGAATAGACAGTATTCTAGTTTATAATATGGCAGTTTAAGCTTTTATATGCAATTACTAGGTGCAAAATTTTCTTTGTTTACATTCTGTCCTGGCCTCTTCCTTGCAAAGAACACGCACATACATTGCGCTCCAAGACCATGAACATCTTCTGTGCAGCGTTAACCGAGCAGAAAGGCACACTTAGAATAGCGAGAACAGCTCAATTCACACTGTCTGAAAATTAGAGAATAAAAACATGAACAACGCCACCGCTTTTCTTATTTATTCCTTGTGCGCCTTTTAGAAACGACATGAACGTGCGTTCGCTCGGCTTTTTTCATGGGTGATTCCACGTAAGATCGAACAGAGCATGGCTGGTAAACTTCTTAAATTTCATTAAAACTTTGGTATATTGTTTTTTGATATGTGTGAAGAAAAAATCCGCAATCGGTTTTCCTGTAAAAAAATTTAAAGCAGAGTAAATCAATAATGACGGAAAGCTGGAGTACCACGCTTACCTGCTCGGCTGCTTTTCTGGAATTTGGCGATGAATTACTACGAGCATCAAATTTCTTTGAATACATAAAGGCGTACTGTCGCATACGTTAAAGCGTAATTTGGTTGTCAGCGTAGGTAGATTTCTTTAAAACTTCTCAAATTTAACCTCCCCCCCCCCAAAAAAAAAAAAACGTTTTTCTACCTAGTTTGCAGGTCTTTATTTCCCAAAGAGCCCACGCAGGGAGGTGAAAATTTTTCACCATTTCTTTCAGTATGCTTAAATATAAAAGTGCGAAGGCCTATATTAATATAACTTTTCAATAAAAAGATATATTCGCGCTAACTTCAAGAAAAGAGCAAGAAAGGAAAACTTCTGACTACAAATAAAAAAAGCATTTTTATATTTTCACACTTTCGCCACTTATTCTACTGTACATAACTTTCACAATAAATAAAAACATGTTGCATTATACAATTTCGCTTGCAGTTACGGCACGTCAAAAAATGCCCTTGCGCAATGTTATGACCGGGGGTTTACAGGCACCGGAGGTCCGGGATGAAGTTGTCGAGGCAGGAGGAAGAGAGACTTGAACAGGGTTTATTTACATTATATACAGGGTGAGCTCTCGTACATGACGAGCTCTTTCTTACATGGCGAGCTCTCGAATCTGACGTTCCTCTACATGGCGCTTCCTCGTCAGCTCGTGCGCCAGTCACAACAGCAAGGATGGGCAACGGTATATCGGGCTTCCTGCCCGCTAGGTTTGGAATGCAGGCGTCGTCAGACTGATGATGATGATGATGATGATGATGATGATGATGCTGATGACAACAGAGCTTGATGCCACAGTGCCTCAATGAACCCCACCGTACAACAATAATTTTTATTATTACTACCATGTTTATCACTTGTAATTTGCAGCGACGAGACATAATTACTTTTAGACAATGTCATGCCAAACTGGAAAGCTGTAGGTGATCACAAATTTCATACAATCTTCAAACCACGAATTGGGCTGAATCTTGCGCAAAGGCCTTATTTGACGGACCCTCTTCACACGGGAGCCGGGCCGAGCGCGCTTGCTTGCTCCGTAATCCCGCCATCAGGGCTGCTCCCGAGACCGAATCTTTTCAAAATTGGTGTCCTCAGTGCAGTTGACAGCTATTTGAGTGCTGCTCACCTTTTAAGAAATTGGGGCCGAATTCACAAAGCTTTCTCTTTGGCTACGCATTTTCTTAGCCAAAAGTTCTCTTATCTGGAGGGATTACTATAGCGCGGGTATGAATTTAACTTATTCGGCACTTAAGAGGGCAAGGAGGACACACGATAGCTGATGAAACGACAAGGAAAGAAAGAAGTGTGTGCCGATAATATCAAGGTAGCACGCAAAGCGTCTAGCATCGAGAGTATACGATGACAGCCAATGATTTGCTGCATCTAAGTTTCAGTTCCGCGAGCGTCTGCTACAGCGCTTACGGGATGCCGCGTACGTTGTAATAGGCGTTTTGGCGGGCTGTGCAAAGCCAAGCACTCGCCTTTCATCAACGACTGTAGCTAAAAACGAAATTGCTCGATGGCCTTAAGTCATCGAGCAATCCATGCACTATCTCGCCAAGTACAAGTAAACAACACTCCATGTGTACCACATAAATGAAACCACACATAAATCGATGCATGCAATGTTTGAAAATGTGCCTCGAATGTCTTCCCCTATTTAACGCGACCAGTTACCTTACATTTCATTGAAGCTGCGCTGCTACTTAACTAATTCGGTGCAATCTAGCACGGTATAGCGGTGAACGTAAGGGTGTTTTGTACCTATAGTCAAAGGTAGCCTTTGTTACAATATTCTTATTACAAGACACATGAGCGACTTTGGTGCCTGCAGACGAATTGTGCGGAAATAGATAACAGCAGTAATCAAATGAAATTGTGAGCGCAATTTCGCTGGTTCCATGCACCGTAGCATTTTTATAAAGCCGGAATGCGAGAACGTGCATACGCTTACGCTTAGGTATATGTCTACGTAAAATGAGGGAGACTCGTCGGGAGGTGTCTCAGTGCTAACGCTTTTCACAAAACACGGTGCAAATATTTCGCCCAGCGTTGTTTGAGTGCGCAAAGCAAGGGACGTGTATACGAGCTTTGAGGTCGAGAGACGTTATCACACGTGCGAAAAGGATGAAAAGAGAGAGAGACTCTCGTTTCGGCTTCGCGAAAGCTTGAAATTGATAGATAATAAAGACAATTTTCTGGCCCAGCAGACGTCAGGGAAAGTCTCCGCAAAACAGGGTCAGATGCTCGGAGAGCATAAAAAAGTGGAGTACGCGTTATATGAGAGTGACAGCCACTCAGAAAGCGAGATGAAGTGTGACTGTCCTTAGGTGTGAGAATCAATGCTAATTAAGAGAGTTGAGTTAATGAGCCAAAACTTTCCTAAATAACGATAATGAAAGCAAACTGAGCATTCATCTAGTGAAAGTGACACTAGTGACAGTGAACTCATAATAGTAGATTAGCGTTGTCACAGGCCGATATATATTTTTATTTTCTTATCTATATTTGGAAAACTATGAGAAGGTAGCGTACGTTAGAGCCGGCTATCCCAACGTCATGACAGTAATGTACAAGAATAAATAGCGCACGGTTATACAATCACACGTGGCGGTTTCTATCTTCTAGTAACCTTGGGCAAACGCACTCTAACTATTTTTTCTATTTTTGACAAAGTTTCACCGGACGTTTTTGCATTTGGCTGCATTCGAAGGAATGACGATATATCAGCAATAGGGCGAATGCAAGCACTGCTGCAGTGGACGAGTGGTTACAGCGCTCAACTACAATATAGGAGGTACTTAATTCGATTCGCAGAATCACTGAGCACTTTTTTTTTCAAGAGGTTGCCCGGCCTGACATTATGCGTGGTGGCGGGTACTAAGTTTTTGAGAAGTAGGCTTTCGCACTTGCTTCTTTCACTCCCCTTTTGACCCAAAAGCGCTGTACTGTGCTCCTTCAAAAATTAAACAATTCAGGGTTCATAATTTTCTCCTCCATCCTCTCTTATCGAAAAAGTGTCCAGTGCTGAAATACCAATATCATACCTGGTATATTACTTTTCACGTGTTTGGATATTCGACCAGCAATCAGTCGTCACGGTGTTTTGAAGAAAATCTACACATGCAGTGAGCTAACTGCTTGCAGCCAAGTTGACTGCCTTTGTA